AAACAGGACATATTTAACTACTTAACAGTTACCTCGAGCACCATTTGGGAGTGCATTTAAGTTCTGACTATTCCAAGTGTCATAGGTGTCACTTCAACTAGTCAGTTCTTGTGCTGAATAAATATGACAAATTATTTTTAAAATTCTCATTATCTTATAAAAATGAAAAATATGAAATTTTTCATCATCCTGAATTTAAATAATTGGACTGGTAAGTGATTAAGGAAGACAACCCATTATTAACATGCACCCCTCAAGAGCACCATGGAGTTTGGAGGTGTTCTCTCTCTTCAAGTGACTCACCTCCCACCCAAGGCCAGCTCTCCTTAGAAACCACAGTACATGAGATTCATAAATGCCAAAGAGCCCTATACCGAGACTAGAGGAAGACCCACATTCATGTTTGAGGTAAATTACTCTCCACATATTTAAAAAACAAACAAACAAACAAAAAACTTGTCACCTACTGAGAACTCATGTCTGCACAGCATGAGAGTTTACCTGCTTTTCCCCACACTAAATAAGGGCATATTTCCTTGATGAGTGGGAGAGTGATACGGTCCATTTTAAACAGAAATAAATATGTATATAAACAGCAATCTGCCGGGCTGTACTAATGACAAATAGCCAAACTAAAAGCACAAAAGAATCAAGGGCACCAGTTGCAGGGGACTCAGTCAGTACCCTCAGGACACCAACTGACTGACAACACCACAGGACAGGGTAGAGTAGAAGGTAAACTTTTAGCTCACCCAGGGCAGAGCCCATAGCTCACCTGCTCAAGTCTGATACTTTGTCAAATGAAATCAAATATCCACTACGTGGAACTCCTCAGTGGGTCTGAGACACCATCCCTTGGAGCTGAGTGTCAGATATACAAGATAGAGATTGAAAATAATGACCATTTCAATGTGGAGAGTAGTGGAAGGGAGGCAGGAAAACCCTGGTCAGTGCCTGGGCCTGGCTCTTGGGGTGCACATCCACACACTGTCCTCACAGCAGGTAGTGGGAATCCCACAGGCAGGGCCAGTATAGTTCATAAACCCTGAGTGAACAACAGCTTAAGCTATTGCCCTCATAGAATTCTACCCGTGCAGATTTATCCACACAATCTAGTGGTTACTCAGTGCTGTGGTCTAAATGTGATGTCACTTCAAAATCCCTATGTTGAAATCTAACCCTAATGCAGTAGCACTACAAGGTAGAGTCTTGGGAAAGTGATTAGGTCACAAGGATAAAGTCCTCCTCATAGGATCAAGAAGGCTCCAGGGAGCCTGTCTCCCCTTCCACCATGGATGCAGCCAGGAAGTGCTGTCTTGGAAACAAAAAGCCTTTAGGAGACTGAGCCCATAAGCACCTTGATCTTAGACTTTTAGCTCCAGAACTGTGAGCAATAAATTTAGTTTTCATACATAAATGTCTTGGTATTTTATTATCACAGCAGGAATAGACAGGGGCATTCAGCATAGGGCCTTCATACACACCCATCTCCTATCTTGATCTTATGTGGACATCAGTCTGCAGGATCAGAAGAGTTAGGGGCTCCACCACATCTATCATCTCTGATGCTGTCCTTCCCTCAAAAGCAGAAATCATATCTAACTCAAGCTACTGACTGCCCATGCAGCAAGCATGGAACAAAATCTTGTGTGAACCTACCTGTGTATAAAAACTAAGAATTTTCTAAGGCAAAATCTACCAGCCTCTTAAATTTTTATTTGAAAATAAAAATACCTTCCATTGTCCAAACAGGACAAGATAAGCAACTTATATGCATTATCCTACTTAGTCCTTTAACAGAGAAAAGCATCACATTCATAAAGCTAAAACCTCTTCTGATATGAAATGAGAACAGAGAGGAAAACAAACAGGAAAATTACAAGATGTCACAATAACTAGTATTGCACCATTTCCCAAAATATAAAACAACTCCTCTTGAAAATATGAGAAAAACTGATTAGCTAAGCTTAAAAGAATTATCTTCCCCACATCGTAAAACTATGGTTTTATGTTTAAGTTATAAGTTAAAAAATTTAAGATTCAGGAATTATGTTTTGCATTTGCAATCTAAACATCTGTAACAACTTAAAACAAATTTGGGAACCAAACTGAAAAAAAAGAAAAGAAATCTCAAACCAAGTTCCAATCTGCCAAGTTTCAATCTAGACCAAGTTTTATAGGTCTGTCATAAACCCAAAAAAGAATTAAAAAGTGAAAGAAAAAAAATGAGGATTAATAATGGAAATGCTGACAGACCATTTTCCAAATACAGAAACATACACACAATTATAATTGACCTTAAAATAACCAGCTTAAAATCATGTACAATAAATTAAAAAACTAATGAAAGAAAGCTTTTTCTAATTCACAGTACTTAGGAGACAAGATCCAGCAAGTGTCAAAACGTGTTGGTGCAACATTTGAAACATCAAAGGACATCACACATTAGATTCATTTATCGTCATGATTGACAAACTTTAACTTAAAATGACAATATTTGGTAAATTCACTCAATTCTCAACTGTATTATCCAATAACTAGAAGATATGCTCACATATGCATTTACATGAAGTCCCCAGACAGATATCTGAATATTAACAATACTTATCCTTAGGTAAGTTTCCACATGCTGAGTTTTAACAATAACACATTAAGACTTTCAAATCTTGTCAGACTTTAACTGTTCATTCTTTCAAGACACTATCTGCTCTCTAGATGCACATCTTTTCAGGGTTTTGGTGCTGGGATCTAACACTGGGCAATAAACATGCTGAGTGTGTGCTCAGACCCTGAGCCATATCCAGGCTCCCACTTTAGAACTGCTGGGAATAATCATATCTTTAGGCATAGTTCAAATCAGCAAGTGTTGTTGAGCAAACTCCAAGTTCCAGGCACACAGAGGCCAGACACTAAAACAGCTGAAGTCTTAATCTATAATCATGTGTGGTAAAGATAATTGCCTGTACCCAGAAGTTTCACTAAACAATTTAGCAAATCAGATTTACCCTTTAACATTTTTACATCCAAATATTAGCTATCCATATCTCATTGAATTGCGTATAAATTGACAGAAGTTCATAATGTCTAAAATGAAAGATGCTTTAAATTAATTGTCATTATATAAGCTAATATCTTAATATGGAATTCACTAAAGGCCCGGAAATAAATAGTCTACAATCAATCTTAAACTCAACCCACTCCTGACAGCTTGCACTGTGAAACTGCCCACACACAATCATGGTTCCAAGGCCAAGAGCCTGTCCTTACCACAAATCACCAAGCCAACTCCTCTTGTTCACAGTTCTTCCCCATCACAATTGCACTAATGTCACTGACAGGTACTTTGGCTTTAAGTTTGCCATTTTAAGACTCATAAAGAAGTTACAAAATTCTTCAAAGGCATCCCTCATTCATCTGGGGGAACTAATGCATGTTTATTTTATTTGTATGAAATGAGATTCTGTACAAAGATACAGAAATATAATAATATTCTTTTTAACAACATTCTCCAAACTAATATTAACCATGGTGTTCTAAAAACCAGAAAAACTTCTAGCATGATTGGAAACATCCTAATAATAAACTGCTAAGGGCAAAAGGTTAAACAATGCTGCCAAGATAAGAAGCCTGTCCAAGCCTTTAAAGATCTCCAGGAAGGCCCACAGAGTGAGCATGGAGCAAAGCACCTCCTCCAAGTGCCCTCTGGCCAAAAATCTGCCCACTGCACGTGGCAAAGTCCCTGGATCTGTTCTCTGCACAGCCCCCCAAGTCTGATCATGAAGCGGCCATTGTCCTGGACACGGAGCCTCTAATCCCCAATGGCCTCTCCCAATGCACCCTCCAGAGTCTTTCCAGCACTCTCATTCCAATAAAGGACACGGCAACAGAATCCATGAGGTAGCTAAACAAAAAGAATCTGCTTTTTCCCATTAGACTAATCAAAAAACTCCACAGGTCATCAGACATGCCTGCTCTGTTCGTCAAAAATTTAAAGTGACCCTAGAAAACTGTAGACAACAAAGTCTCTTTACCCATACAAGACTTTACTCAGCAAATAAAATGATGCCCTTGTATCCTAAAGCAGATTTCAGAAGGCATTTTAAGTTAAACACTTAACGTGAAAAGCCTTCCCAACCATATCAAAAATCATAGCTTTAGTCCAAAATAAAATTTAAAAACACAAAATTTTCATTTATAAGTCTTAGATGTTCTTTTAGGTAACAAAATGCCTCTGGAACTTAATGGTCATGAGACCCTCATAATCCCAGCCTTTACCACACAGAAGCAGATGTCTTCAAATCTCTGTGAAGGGAGACAGCTGTGTCTGATCCTCCCCACAGAAGACAAGCTGCTAGGTCAGCGGTGGTCCATGTCCCTGCCACGTGTATGGCTGCCTTCCCACTGCCATGGCCTTCCACCAAGGTAAGCAGCAAGCATCACTAGAAAAGACTTAAAGTGAGCCTACAAGATAATCAAAGACAAAAGCACAAAAATGTATGTGCAATGTGATATTAAAATATCTTCTACAGTCAGACAGCAAGACTTAGGATAGTTTAATGATCAATAAACACTAACGATTTTGGTAACAGTTATAAATTACATTGCAATACATTTGTGTCTCTTAAACCAGTGGTCCCCAACCCCTAGGCTACAGACTGGAACCTGTCCACAGCCTGTTAGGAACTGACCTGCACAAGCGGAGATGAGTAGTAAGCTAGCATAGAAGCTTTATCTGTATTTACAGCCACCCCCTCCATTGCTCATTACCTGAGCTCCACCTCCTGTCAGAACAGCAGTGGCATTAGATTCTTATAGGAGTGCAAACCCTAGTGTAAACTTCACATGTGAGGTGTGTAGCCCGTCCTTTGAATAATCCCAAACCTCTCTCTCCAACTCATCCTACCCGTCTGTGGAAAAATTGTCTTTCACAGAACAGATCCCTGTGTTAAACACTTTATGCTCATAATTTTACAAATGATGCATACTGTCCAAAAACTTACTGTATTTTGACAAATTTGATAGACAGGCCATGAATGGGCTTCTGCTATCACTGCAGCACTTCAGCCAGCATTGAAGTCGAAAACTTCCAAAGTCCTGTCCCGGCCAGCTCTGAGTACAAGGTCTGCAACAATCCAGTTAGGGAACTCTTCACCATGATCATGCTCATGAGAAACAGACAGGACAGTTCCATTTTACTAATAAGCCTTGGAAGACTCAGAAATGAATGAGTAGTAAAGAATTTCCGACATTACATAGGATCAGTCCAGTCCTAGCCCAGCTCCTCCTATCTGGTACCCAGGTACCTGGCAAGAGCTGGTAGCAGCAAGTGGAAGCTGGGGCCCCAGTGCTGAACAACTGAGGTGGGACATCAGAGTGTGAGATACCTGTGAATACCCAAATTAAGATATCAACTAACTGTTGTCTGAGGTAAAGATGAAATTATAAAGCCACAAAGGGGATAATCTATCTCAGAGCAGGCTGCATGAGGTAACATAAAGTGGCATATCTTTAGGAAATTGTAATACACTTTATAAGTCTGATGGTTGAGGGACAATTTATAAACTCAGGGAATATATGACCACCCAAACTACCCAGCAGCCAGTGCTCAGCCCTGTACATTGTAGAAGAAGTATACATGCAGGAGTGCAGAGTTCCAGATTCAATAGTAAGTACAGTGACAATGATAGAACATGCGAAAATGGTAACTCAAGTTTAAATAACCATAGTGATACACTTCTGCCAAGTGTATTTTTCTTTTCAAATGATGCCAGCACAGAAGTTCTACATTTCTAACTAAAACATACAGAACTTTATAACATTTTATTTCTGTCCTTCAAAAAAAAAATTTTTTTTGGTACTGGAGAACGAACTTGGGACCTTGCACTTGCAAGGCAGGCGCTGGAACCACTGAGCTAAATCCCTGGCCCTGTCCTTCAAAATCTTAACTATAACTCTTCAGTAGAATTCAGTGTAGACCTATGTTTGAATAAATTAAAGTTTTATGAAATGAATTCCTAAAAATTAAGAGCTTTGAATCTAAACAAATATGTTTTAAAAATTGAAAGTGATTATGTTAGCCACACAAACATTAAAGTTTTAGAGTCAATGTTATATTCTGTTGATAGCAACTGCTATCATTTTTTTCAGTCCTCTGTGAGATGGAATAACTGCTCAAGTAGCCAAAGGACACCTATAGTATGTACGGGCAGTTAATTAAGAAAATGCACTAAGTTACTCTGTATTTTCATTAAAGCTCAGATAACAAAGTCTGGTCAGCTAACCCTGTGAATTATGAGCCAGATGTCATAACCAGGTTTGTGTTCCTTTCTCGCCATCAAGGTGCAGTTCTTACATGTGCAACTGCTGCAAAAGACCTCAGGCTCCATGTTCCCAGCACACAGCACAATTTCAGGCTGATCTGACACAGAGTGACACTTTGCCAGAAGAATAACCCTCAATATGTGATACATTGGAAGGGCCAGGGAGCAAGGATACAGGAATATAAGTTATTCACTGCTGACAAACTGGTCACATCGGCTGCGTTTGACAGAGAGAGCTGGTAGATGAGCTTGTAACTGGCTCTTTGGTTTATACCTGTAGGAAAAATACAGATGATCAATCTCGCTTCTTGCTTTCTTCCACTACAGCTAAATTTCTACTTTTTAAAAACTTGAAAGTGAAAATAAAGTTTTCCCATTAGTTTAGTAAGTTGTATTTTATAATACTGAGGGACTAAGTGGATTGGACACCTTACTTTTCCTTTAGGAAAAACTTTAGTTTCCATTAAGAAACTCTCATTTTACCCTTAAAGAAAATTTACGAAAATGATATCATCCTATATAGCCAAAAATTACTCATTCCCAACTATGAGAAAGCACATTTGTCCCCTAATTCTAAAATAATTATGTATACTTGAGAAGATACCCAACCAGTTATAAATTACCAGTGGTGAAATACAACTTGTTACTATTTTCTGAAGGATAACATAAGCAGTGAGCAATGCCTTATTAAATATATGCTTTTAACCCCTAGAAATAATATCCCAAAGGAAAGTAACTGGCTGGCAATTCCAGGAAGTAGCCTTGGCTAGTGCGGGAGGGTAAAGGACAAGACGGCCAAGATGTCACAGAAGGGTCCAGAGCAGCAACATGGAGATGCCAGGCCAGGCTAGCAGGTATTGTGCTGCCCAGGAGGACAGAGTACACTCCCAAACACAGAGGAGAGCTATGCAGAAAACATAAAGGAAAGTTATCCAAGGCCAAGCCCCAGATCAACAGAGTCCTGGGACAGACCTCAGAACTTCCAAGGGCCCAGAAAGGCAGGCCACACATAAACAAGGAGACAAAGAGGCCATACCTCAAGGGAGGCTTGGTAATAAGTGCCCAGGGATAGGATGCAATTACACAAATTACCACAGTGAAAAACTGCTTAGTTATATAGAAAGATGACTAATAAAGCAGAAAGCAGCTATTAATTTTGGAAAAGTATATAAAAACCAGGGACTGTTCAGTTGAGGAAACTGTCTTTCAGAAAGACACCCAGAAGGAACAGGAGACATGCAAGTCACAGCTTGTGGATTCCTGTAGGAAGGCTAGGCAGGAGAAGGCCTAGGAGGTTTAAACAAACACAACCATTCTTCTGGATAATCTTTTAAAAATAGGAGTATAACACATCTCAATACCGGATCAATGTTTTCTAACTTTCTGTGCCACTCCTGGGTTGCAGTTTATGATTACTACTGTAAGCCCACCAGGTGAAACACAGCTAGGCAGTGTCAGCTCAACTCCCTCCATTGGTAACACTTGTGTTAGGTCATCACACAAATTAAGATTGTCCAAGTAGTCAGCTAAGATAAGATGGGATGGATAGGATGGGATGGGATAGGATGTAATAAGATAGGATGGAATGAATCTATAAATAGATTAATGGATGAGATGTGAAAGATGGGATGTGAAAAACAGTATTGGTAGAATGGGATGGATAGATGAGAAGGATGGATGGAATTGGATGGGATTGGATAGATAGGATGGATGAGATAAGATGGATGAGATGGATGAGAGGGGATAGGTGGGAGATGGATGAGAGGGGATGGATGGAGGGAGGGATGAGATGGGATGGATGGAATGGATGGATTAGAATGTATGAGGTGGGATGGATGAATTAGGATGGATGATATGGGGTGAATAAAATAGATCAGATGAGCATATGAAGTAGAGGGGTGGATGGATGGAATGAGATAGGAAAGATGGACAGGACTGATGAGATGGGACAGGTGGGAGGGATGGATGGAATAAATGAGATTGGATGGGTATTATAATTGATGGGATGGATGAATGGGATAGATGAGATGGTGAAGATGAGGTAAATTGGATAGATGGATTGGAATGAATGAGACAGGATAGATGGCTTGGGATGGATGAGATGTGATGGACGTGATGGTTGTATAGGATAGTTTAGAAGGATGTGTGGATGGGATAGGATGAATGGATGAGATTGGTGAGATGGGATAGGTGAGATGGATGGATAGGAGTAATGACACTGGATGGATGGGATAGATTGATGGGGTGGATGAGACGTATGGATGGGATGAATGAGAGAGGGTGAATGAAATGGGATGGATGAAACAGATTAATGGAATAGCTGGATGGATTGGTAGGATAGATGGACAGGATGAATGAGATGGATAGATGGGATTAATGAGCTTGGATGGATGGGATGGATCTATGGGATGAATGAGATACATGGATGGGATGAATGAGATGGGGTGGATGGGATGGATGAGATGGATGAGATAAGATGGGTGAAACAGATGAATGGGATGGGTAGGATAGACAGGATGGATGATATGGCTTAATGTGATGGGTAGATGAGATGGGTGGGAGGGGTAAATGAATGAATGGGTGGGATGGATGAAATGGGATATGATGGATGGGATGGATGAGATGGAATGGGATGGATGAGATGGGATAGATGGATGGATAAGATGAATGAATGGAATGAATGAGATGGGATGGGTGGGATAGATGAAAGGTATAGGTGGATGGATGAATGGGACAGATGGGATGGATGGGTAGGATATATTGGATGGATGGATGGGTAGGATGGATGAGATGGATGGAGCGGGTGAATGAATGGATGGATTGGATAAGATGGGATAACATGGGATGGGATGGAGGAGATGGATGAGATGGGATAAAATGGTATGGATGGATGGATAAGATAAATGAATAGGATAAATGAGATGGGATGGGTGGGATAGATGAAAGGCATGGGTGGATGGGATGATGAATGGGATAGATGGGATGGATGGGTAGGATATATGGGATGGATGGGTGGATGGACAGATGGATAGATGGATGGATGGATGGGAAGGATAAGATGGGATGGATGAATAGATGGGATGGATGGGTAGGATATACAGGATGAATGGATGGATGGGATGGATAAAATGGGATGGATGGATGAATAGATGGATGTAATAAGATGGATGGATGGATTAGATAAGATGGGATGGATAGGCAAGATGAGAATGGTATGATGGATGGGTGTGATGGATAGATGGATGGAATGGATAGGTGGCATGGATAGAGGAGAGGAATGGGTAGGATGGATGTGATAAGATGGGATGGATTAACAGTATATTATATGGGAAGGATGGATTGGGATGGATGAGATGGGATGGGATGGATGGATGGATGGGATAAAATGGGATGATGGGTCAGATGAGTAGATAGGATGGATGAATGAGATGCAGGCAGCAACTGGGAAAGCCTGTGGGGCCATCTTTCTGAAGGGGCTGTGAATCCTAGGTGAGCTAGGCTCTGAGAAGGCCATCAGGTGTGGGGGAATTCAGGCACATTCTCCTCACTATCCACCTATACACAGCACCCTGTTCCAGCAAGAGTAAGTAGTGACCTCAGAAGAAGTAACATCTGTTCCAAATATGTCTTGTGGCACCATCCTGGGAAGCAACTGCACATGAGCTATCTTTAATGCCAACATGGGAAAGTGTTTGTGGAGTTCAGCCTTTTACATATGAAAGCACACACAGCTCTTGAGAAGCAGGCCAAGGGAGAGCCGGTCTGAATTGTGACCAGAGAGCACAGTACCCAGTACTCACAGAATTAGTTACCCACATGCCAAGGAAGATACCAGGTCAGGCTTCTGGAATATAAGTCTGATCATACCCTGTTCCCTGTTCCCTAGGGCACAGATTGCTCTTTTAAACAGCTACTGTTCCAGAGAAGGTGATGCAGCCACCTGGAGCACAGGCACCACCCTGCTCTACCCAGATGCCCAGATCAACATGGCCTACTCTCCTTCAGCAACACCTTTAGCCCCATATCCCCAAGCTCCTCTAGGCTGTGGCCTAAAGGTCCCCTCTCCAATTTGCCTTGTGAAAATAAGAACATATAACCCACCTTAAAATCAAGGTCTGACAAATAGCAGGACTATTTGTCAAGCCAGGACTTTCTTTCTCCAGATCCTTATTATGTGAGGAGCAAGCCTGTCTGTGGTCTTTGGTCACAGGAAAAAAAAAGACACAAGGGATGTTCTGAGAAAGAAAAAAAGGGGAGCTACCTTCCATGCAGGATGGCCAACCTTCCAGAACAGGCCCAAACCTCATGTTATGGCTTGTACCTAGATGTCCACCCAAAGTCTCATGGGTAGAACTTCTGGGAGGTGGCTGAATCATGGGTGTATAATACTGGATTATGGATGCATGACAACTGAATTAGTACACTGATTGGTTTAGTGTTGTTCTAGTGTGGATGATGGAAGGCTCACCTGAGTTATGTGTGGTACCAACTGATAGGACTATAGCCTGAATGAAACAAAAAGGGAAATGAAGGCTTGCAGCTTCCTGCCTTCTGCCTGGCCTGCCATGAATTGTTTCTCCTCTCCCATACCCCACTGCCATGCCACCCTTCATTAGAACCAGCCAACTATGGACTGAAACCTCTTCAAACTGTAAGCTAAAATCTTTCCTCCTCTAACTTGTATCAAGTATTTTGTCCCAGCAATGAGTAACTAAGACATATCACCACCAGACCTGAGAAGGGTCTAAACCTGCCCTACACATACCCAATGGAGAAGTCCCAAATCGCTCCATGTCCATCAGTGAGAGGAGAGATGGCTGGGTACCACTTGTTACAGAAGACCTGAGGATATGGAGAACCCCAAAGTCAAGCGTCTTGGCAACCCGGCGCTGATTACTAAGTATGTTATGCTTGCCTTACCAGATGAAATCAGGTGGGCACGTAAGACTCAGCAGAGGAGACAGATACAACAGTTTCAAGAGGTTAGGATCTCTGATTGTCTCTGAAATATTTTATTTCTTTAAATTTTTTGAAAATGAAGATAACAATATTTCTCCGAACCTTGGCATAGGTAAATACCTATTATTTCCTACGTATATCTATATGTCTGAAGTATTCTGTAATTTTAACTTCTTAGTAAAAATCAGTAATTACTCCCATAATGTCACTTGAACATTTTATGAAGTAATAATGCAGGGTCCTTAAATCCTTCAGATTTTCTCACAGATCACACCAAAGGTCCCTTCATGTGGTAAATCAAAAGAATTAACACACAGAACCAGGCTACTCAGTTCACAGCACAAGTCTCACAGGAACATGAGGTTGTTACTAAACCTTGGATAACATGATTAAACATCAACACTTTCCTTCTCTTCCCATTATTCAAATTTTGAGAAGTGAAAGCGTCAGGCAGCTCCCTACCTCTTCAGCTCATCTTTGCAAGTGTCAAGGTGATACTTCAGTGACCACAATTCTGGGCCAGAAGACAGCAGGATGAAGGTGTCTATGTAGTAGAACTGCGCAGCCTGCACAGGCTGAGGAAGCACGTCTCTGCCCTGAAAAGCAGGCTGGTGGTTACTGTGATGCCACAGATGCCACAGGAAGCTGCACTGCCCCAAATGTAAACCCCTGGGTCCCCATGTGCATGTGTTCGTGAGGATCCATTTAGGTGGTCTTTCTGCTTGCTCAATCACTGAAGGAACTACACAGTTAAATATTAATGTAATTAGTATTGAATTCAACCCATTTACGATATTTAAAATGAAAGAAACTTGAAATCTTACAGCAAGGATTTTATTAGGGTTGAAATTTAAAATATGTTTCAAAACACAGCTCTGGTGTCTATTCTCAGTTACAGCTCACAATCAAGGACCCCAATTTAGAAGCTGATGGCAATGACAGCTCTGAAACAGCTACCAGATGCTCTCCCACAGGGTGCTCTGTCTTAACTAATCTACCTTCCTTCCCCCACTTGCCATGAGGCCTGAGCAGCCTGCAGTGCATGGGCTGCATCCCAGGCAATGGGCAGCTGGCTGGGAGTGCAGGTCCTCCTGCCTCTTAGCACTACCAAAAATCATCATATACTGCTTGCACAGGAAAAAAATCAAAACTGAAAACTCAAAGCACAGTTTCTACTGAATGTCTATGACTTTCACACCATTGTAAAGTCAAAACATCTTAAATTGACCCATCATAAGCAAGGATTCTCTGCATGGTGGTAGATGCCTGTAATTCCAGCACTCTTGAAGCTTAGGCAAGAGGATCATAAGTTCAACCCCAGCCTGCTGGACAACCTACTGACTTGGTAAGAACTAGTCTCAAAATATAAAATAAGGGATAGGATGTAGCTCTGTGATTGAGTGACCTTCAGTTCAATTCCCCAGGACTGAAATAAATAAATAACCCATAGAAAAATAAATACTAAGCAACAGATCAACCTCTCCAATATTTGGAGTCCAGAGGCTGAAGAATAACAACTTGAGGAAGAGAGGAAGGAAAGAAGTGATCATTGGGACCCAGGAAAGATCTGAAGGAAAGATTGGAACCTGCAGAGAAAGTGAAGAGATGACCACAGTGAAAGTGAGCAGATGGACCGTAGCACAGAGGAAGAGGAGGCAAACTGCACTCCACACCCCTTTTAGCTCTTGGCATGAGAGAGGATGCAGACACCAGTGGAGTGGAACAGTGGAGGCTGCAAACCACAAGGACCAGTAAGTGACTCCAGTACAGGCAATAGTTATATTCTCTGGAAAGACTGCTTGGTCAGGCTTTCTTTTAGGGAAGGGTCAACTGAATGTGGGACTCAGAGCAGCCATCAGTTATATTTGTCTCAGAGCTCCCAGTGTTGAAATCGCATAGCAACTGGGTGAGTGAAGGCTGAAGAAGTCATCCAGGGTGGGGAGAACGGGCAGGCTGCCAAGAGAAATCCAGAGAGCTGCTGGCTGAAGACTTGAGCCCCAGCACCCACAGCCAGAGGCCAGCATCAGCCTGAACTTCTGTAGAGTTGAAAAGAAAGTTAGTGCCCCACCCGACCCTATTGCTGGCTTGCTGAGATTGCCCAGCATCCCACCCTAATCCTACTGCAGACTTACTAGGGTTACCCAGAGCAGATTTGGGCTCTGATTTGGACACTACCACAAAACTGTAGACAGCAGAAGATAATCACAGGTTTGAAGTCACAGGGAAATTTTTTCTTTTATTTTTCTTTTCAGGATAGGGAGTGTGGGGGTATTTGTTTGTCTTGCTTTGTTTCGATTTTTTGTTTGTCCTGTTTTAGTTTTTTCATAAGTGTGAACATTGTTTCTAGTTTTTTGGTTTGCTTTGTTCTTGCTTTTGTTTTTTCCTTCTTTCCTTCTCTCCTGTCTTTTTCACCAGTTCCCCAAAGCTTGATTAATCTCCCTTTTTCCTTCAGCTTTAATTCTAATCTCTTTCTCTCCATTTCTCTATTTTTTCCTCTTGTCCCTTTTAAATTTTCTTCCCAGAGGGTAAAATCACTTGATTGAGGGGACATTCATTATATATAATTTCTTGGGTTTACATTTCATTATAAAACTATAAGTCTTGTTCCTCTGCTTAAAGTAGGCAAATTAATAATTACCACAGTTTGTCAGTTTCTAGGCTGTGCTTGATGCTATTGCTATTGATGATTGCACTACTGATGAAGATACCAAGGTGTCATAGTTGCTGTGATCAGTTGCTCTTCCCTATATGCCAATATCAAGATTGTCTAGGATCATAAGCAATGCCATATTCAAGTATCAAAGAACTAGGTGTTAGGACAAATAGGCAGTAGCCTCTCATCCCTACTAAACTGAAGAGATCTTTGAAAAGACTCAAAATCCAAAAGCCAGTGACACTTAGAAAACATCTCTGAAAAGTAGTCATTTCCTAAGGAGGTCTCACTACTACCAATAAAGCCATTAGCAATTTACAATGATCAATGAAGAAAACAAATTTTAAAAAAGAAAAGAAAATGATAAGATACAGAAGAAAGATGCAACCCCAGACTTCGAGCTCAACTAGGGCAAGTCCAGGAGGCAGTGAAGTGGAGTAAATCAGAAGCCATCCACCAGAACTTTCTAAAATGATTTCAGCAGAAGTAACAATGAGGCTCTATAAAAAACCAAATCAGAAATTTCTCAGAAAATGAAAGAAATGATGACACAATGAAGAACATCGTTAGTGAATCTAGAGTAGATACGCATAAAAATATAGAGGATCTTAAAAAATGATGGAAACCATGAATGCCCAATATAGGAGAGAAATGGATTCCATATAACAGATTCAAACAGATATCCAGGAGATTATGAATTATATTGAAAGAATACATAGCAGAATCGACCAGTGTGAGGACATAATATCATATCTAGAAGACAAGTCTGTAGTAAGTAATCATCAAAAGACTTCTTAGACATACAAGGGACAATGAAAAATCAATACAACGGCTGGTAGATGATGGAAAGAAGAATAACAGGCAGATGAGGCTTCTGGGCCACCACAGCACTGCTCCCAGTGCAGAGGAGGCTTCGGACTGCTGTACCACTGCTCCCAGTGCAGAGGAGGGGGGCCAGGAGCAAACACCATTCCATGCCCACACTCCACCCCTGTCAAAATGAGAAGACACGTAAACAAGTCTCAAAACCAGACTTCCAGATCACCTACAGCAACCCCAAAGGGAAATGAGATGGAACAATCTGATACT